TTCTAAAATGAAATCGGCTTATTGTAATGTTCTTTAGCAAAATTTAGACGTTTAGAAGTGCATTCACTTTTGAAATGTATGGTCTATTTCTAGATATCCGTCCATAAATATTGCTTTCATTAATGCGAGATTTGATTTGCGTGATCGATATTGGTAGATAAAAATTTTCTTTAATTTGTTGTGCTATAATGAACGGATTTTTTTTTACTTCTTTAGTGATTAGCCGATCTTCGCGAGCAGTTGTTTTTCCTTTTTCTACCCGATCTCACCGAATTTTTAGGTTTACCTGTCTTTTGTAATTTTTGGCATATCTTTCTAACACCTGCTTTTGATATTCTAAACTCATGTGCAATTTGTTGCAAACTTTTTCCTTCCATTCTTCTTTTGTCAATGTGTAACCTGTCGATACTCGTAGCTTTCTAGTTTTCGGCATACTATAAATAAAAGGTACTTATAGTCAAGAGAAAAATGTGTGAAAATAACCTACGGATCGTTAACCTACTAATGAAATTAAAAAATAATTAAAAGATGATGATATTTCATTCATAAAATAAAAGATCTATTGCGTCAGGTCTATATTTGACAAAAAATGCTTAAATGTACGATAACTTTGTTTCTTATAATGGTAATGCTTCAGCTGTTTGCAGGCAACTAAGGCATTAACCACACTTAATGTAGACAAAAAGCAAAAGATTTTTAAGTTATATAAGAACGTCACCATAGCAAACGAAACACAACGCACCCTTCAAATTTGCCGTCGTCAACTTGAATACCGGCGCGACTGTATCTTCTTACAGTCAAAAATGACTAAAGTGTCGCAGCGAAATCTGAATGAAAAACTTCATGACATCTGAATGGGACACGTGTTTTAAAACTTCGTAAGGAAAATGTAATTTCCAAACCGGTAATTGCCTCGTTGCCAGGAAGAACGATCGAAGAGTTGCACGATTGTTGCGCGTTAAAACGGATCGGACGAAATCGGAGGAAAATCTCGGGTTGAAAGTGGAGCGAGAGGAACGGTATCGGGGACCTTGGCGAGCCGAAACGATCAAGACGGGTGTATAAACGTCCTCGGAGGACCGGTTCGGAGATGCAGCCCCCAGGGGGCGTCGGTCGGCCGCAAACCTCATCTCTCGCCCGCGGCCTTTTATACAAGAGGAAAAGATTCGAGAACACACCTGTCCAGATGCAGCTCGAGTAATCCAGTTCAGCTCGCAATTCGCGCCGTCGAACCGCGTTTCGTATCGATTTCACACGGAGAAACGTCCCCGCTTTCCTCTTCCTCTTTTTCCTTTTTATTTCCCCCCCCCCCCCCCCCCGCGAACCTCGTTTCTCGTTGTTTCGTTTCGGTTCCCTTGTTAACGATCTCCCGCGACAGCGAGATCGAGTTCTGTTGACTGATATGATTTTCCTTCCTGACAGATTTTGTTTGTTCAGTCCACGTATTCGAGGCACAGAGTATTAATTGAGCAACTCCGGCTCGAGTGTAAATTGAAGATCGTCTGTCAGGATTTTCGAGTAAAAGTGATGAGAGTTATAAATGCTACAAAATATGACGAGGCTCGCGAAACGTTTCGTTACAAAATTGCAACGCGTGCCAGGAGTTTCGATTTTTGCCGGTTTTTCGGGAAATTTCTAATGGGGAAATTTTGGAGAAATTTCGGCCGACGGCGTTAAATTAAAATCGAAGAATTATAACAATAATACACGATAAAGCCGCTTTCAGCAATTTTTACGATATTAATTGTTTCAACATGGTTGAAATACGTCGGAGTTGATTTTTTCGACGTTAGAGGGACGTTTTGAAACAAATGTCACGTGGTGTGCCTGTTTCGGTCACGATTTTTACCGTGATAATAATTGTCACTGCGAAATGGAAGAAGCGGCAGTCATCAAAGCGCGCATCGGCGAAATTTGTTTTTCATGAATTCTCACTGTCAACCGATCTGACAAATTTTAATTGTCGTCGTTCGCTGAGAATTAACATTCAAGCGATGTCGCTTTTTGTCATTCGTTTTTTTAATTTTTCCACCAACTCGATGAGATTTTATAATGTTGCGACTTGGCTCGAGCGGTAACAGTGTTGTGTTCGGGGAAAATTTTAATACCTAACCGCCGATTTATGCGACGATTACGAAAAATTCAAACGAGTCTTTGACAGGGTTATTAAAAAATTTTCTTTGCATTTCACACTTTTTAATTTAATTTAATTACCTCCGCGATCACGTACGACAGTTTCAATACGTGAATCATTTAGAATTCACGGAAAAAATGGCTCACGAGACATTTTAAATAATTTCATTATAATCGCGACGTGTAAAATATTCGTTCGAAATTTTCAAATATTTCATTTGGATCACATTAAATAAGCGATGTAATTAGTATTGTAGTCTCTTTCAACATTGTTGCACGATCATTCAGAGCAACTATGTTATTACAAATTTTCTATTATTGCAAATTCACTTCATCAGAGTTGGATAATTTTGAATGATTTTCTCCTCGGAGAAATAATATCGTAGGAAGGAAGATATGGATCGAATTAATAAAATAGATATGGTAATAAATCGTACTTTAATTCATTCTTTATTCGAACCGGAAAAGCCTGTTTTCGTGTTAGTAAACTTTTGCACATACACAGTAGATTGATTTTACGTACTACAAATTATTCATACAACTAAACTGCGGATATTCATGCATTTATGCGAAATTTATGTATGCAAAATATGCGTAGGATGTATGGTTATGTATTATATGCAAAAATATACGAAAAATATATCTCGAAAGTGAAGCAATCTTCTGTTTAGACGATTCGGTTGTGTTCGTAAAAAATACAAACTTTCAAGGGAGTGTAGAAATAAAATAGTAAAAATGTTGTTATTTGTAGAAAAAATTCATTTTGGGTTAGGTTTAAGTGAGGTTTATTTCCTGGGTACAGAGATGTATAAAAAACTCGGAGTACGAATTGAAAAATTTGCCGACAATAAATCACAAAGGAAATTTATTCGAAAACAATTCCTTGGTGCTAAACTGGGTTTTGAATTAATTTTCGTTCCGTTTGCCTGTCCAGGAATTTTTTAGTTTTCCTGAAACTTCTGCGACCCCGATTTTGCATTAAAATAATATCCCTCGACTCGACTCTGATCGAACGCGTATTAAGCTCAGCGAAATCGAACGAGAGAACGTAACGAAAGAATATTACGTTGAAGGAGTTGGCGAATCCTGCGAAACTTAATTTAAATCTCCATTAAGAGGGAACGCGGGGCAACGTGACGGGGCAATAAAGAGAGCAGACACGAAAGTACAAACAGCGAATAAATAGAGGAGATTGGCAACGTTTCAGAGGTAGTAAAGTCCCTCCGCTTGGATGGAAATGAACTTGCGAAGATAACGCGGCGCGAGAGTAGGCGAATTTCACGATACTCCGTGATGAACGTGAAGCCGAACGAGGATCAAAAGGACGAATGAACGTCTCTCGTTGTGCGTGCAACGGAGGAATCAGAAGCGTCTGATGACGCGTTTTCCAAGTGACAGCCGATTTCTTCGGTACACTGGTGCCTCGGTTTCGCAAAATATTTGCTCGTGGTAAATAACTCTCTTAGAGCTACCGTCCCTCGGAGAGCGCGGGAAGCGAGCTTGTTAGTTTTATACTCTTCGAAAATATTTGTGCCGGTGATTATCAGACTGGCGGTTAAATCGTATATGCAAATTTGTGTTTTTTACAAATGTGACGAAAGAAACGAGACCCAACGAGAGGAGCTTTCTCGCTGGTTAAACAACGAACATTCTGCCCTTCTCACGTTTTTTTTCGCTTTCTTTCTGCATATCTCAACTCGCTGTTAGGAAAGGATTGTCAACAATTTAATCGACAATCACAGCTGTTTGCGAAAGTTTGAATTGAAAAGACAGAGATTAAAGGTGTGGGGGGGAGTGGGGAAAGGCTCGCTGGTTAGTGGCCTTGAACAGTCGATTGATTTCAGACAGGCTATAGCACACGCGAGAAGTTGCTTCTTTAATTAAGGCTTGTTGCAAGTGAAACTCAATTGGTTCGAAGCGCAGGCGGCTTGTTTGAAGACTAAAGTGCTGCTCTGTGGTTTGAGCGCGACGGAGCGATACGCGTTGACTTTAATTAAGAAAACTATTTGCCTTGGAATTGACGATACGTAATATTCAACCGGTTAAACATCATTTGCTCGCGGAGGCTACTTAGATAAATTCATATAAATACATTTCAAATTCATTTTCGTGTATCGGTGTCTTATTGAATAGCATTAATCTGCAAATTGTACCTCTTCGATGGTGTCGTAATAATTATTGAATGTTAGATTTTCGTTTAATTCTAATACTTTAATGCGACTTGATTCTAAATTTTATAGCAAAGAATTATATGGCCAAAAATTATATATAGCAGTTAATAAATTTTTCTACGCTCAAATTAATCGCGCCTAATTTTCGTGCTCGTGAAATTTCATTCGCCGAAAATTTTTCAACTCGACAAGAACGCGTCGTCTTGCGCTGGATTCTTTTGTCCCAAAATTGCAATAGTTTCTCAGTACATTTAAGTACATTAAGTACAGGCAAAGCAAATAATAAATTTATTACTTTTCGATAATTTCTATCCAGTGATATCGCACCGACGAGTTCAAGAAAAGGAAAGCGACGAATTATTGTATACGGTTTCGGTCACTCGTTATGGTCCGCAATCAGTTGCCAGCGCAGGTGGTTAAATTTAAATCTGTTAGATGGTTACGGGTTGATGAATCTTTCTACACGAAAATTCGAAACATTAATCGCATTGTCTGATTCCTGTATTCGCGAGCAACGGGGAATTACATTCGTAGAGAATGTTTTTAACTTGGAGTAACTGAAGTTGTTGGAAGAGGGAACGTGTAGTTCAGTATTTCCTTCGATTATTCATTCTAGCAGAGTGGCGTGAGGGAGTGTGGATGATTTAGACCGTGTAGCGGGAAACGTGAATAAAGAATGCAGGAGTAGAATTTTACCTGTATATCGGCGCGTCTGCCTCCTCCTTGTACCAAATAACTAGATGTAGCTTGTCTCCAGGGACCGGCGGTTCCACGTCGCATGGTAACTGAGCAGTTCCAGCTGCCACTGCCTCCGCATCTATCATTGTCACTGTAATGACAAAGACGGGCCGTGAGTCAGGCACATCATACAGCGAGAGGAGAGGAGAGCGTGACTAGAGTGTGCATCAAATCGTCTGACTTAACGATCGCGTGGGAATTTATTGATAAAGCAGATACATCAGGTTCGACAAGAAGGTGCTTTCATTCTTCGTGATTTATCTTTTGCGTAACGTGGCGAAGGCATTACACACGAACATTCATTTGTACGTTTCATGTAAAACTTTTAAAAATTTTACGAACACTAAAAAGTGTTGCGATGCATTTAATTAACTTAATGAATGAAACGAGTAATTTTCTATGTCCCAAAGGGGAAATTCAAAGTGTTGCAGATTACAATATTTAGTTTTTCGTTTATTTTACCGAGGTAAAATCACCACATTCGTCAAGATTCCGACGTTCCGCTTTAATTGCACTCTTCAATCTTTGGGTTAGGTTTGAGTTAGGTTTACCTTCTGGGATACTTTTTTCAAAGACCACCCAATATTCTCATTTGAATACCAACCTGTCGTCGTAGTTGTTTCACCCTACAATCTTCTACTCTCAACTTTTTGAAGTTTTTCACCACTCGCAGAGAAACGAAACTGCTAATCAAGTATTTTAATAATAATATATATTGTATAAAATATATATTATTTTATAATATTTTAAATAATAATATATATTATATAAAATATATATTATTTTATAATATTTTTAATAATAATATATATTTTATATAATATATATATATATATATTATTATTATTATTATATATATATAACATATTATTATTTTATAATATTTTTAATAATAATATATATTATATAAAATATATATTATTTTATAATATTTTTAATAATAATATATATTACATAAAATATATATTATTTGATAATATTTTTAATAATAATATATATCATATAAAATATATCGAATATATTTCATAAATAATTCGAAAGCTCAGGCTAAAAGAAGACTCTATTAATGTCTTTTCGTCGAAATTTACGCTTCTAAACGTATTTCTTTCTCTCCAAATGGCCACGAAATCTTTACCCTTCTCTTTTGAATTATAAACTAGATTCTTTCCGTGACTTCTTGGCGAGCTGTTACACAAGCAACGAAGGTGGGTGGAACGGGTACGGGCAAAATATATAGAGAGACTAATTGTCATTAACCGGGTATCTTGGCTGGTGTTGCGTTACACTTAGCCTCTATCTGTCCTTACTCTAATTATTGAGGAAAATTATGCATTCGCCACACGCGGTACAGAGAGACCGCTGGACTTCAGAATGGCTCGTTTAATTGTTTCAATTACATTTGATTAATGCTTCTAATTACACTTTCCTCTCATTCTCCCTTTTTTTCTTTTTTTTTCTTTTTTTTTTTCAAGTTATATAACGAGCTTGGTATTTGACGTATAATTGGACAGATTTGTTTAAAAAATGTTCATCAAAAGATTCAAATTGCAGGATATTCAGTGAAAATAATATTTCGTACGAAATTCTTGAAATTACGAAAAAAAAGGAAACATTTTCACTTTGCTTTCATAATTATTAGATATCGAAGACGATCTTGTTCGCAAAGTTGATTGAAAAATTAGCGAACAAAAATTCGACGTCACCGTGTATTTCACTGGCAAATATTTATTATGCATGAGCCACGTTTCTCGTTGCTCGAAAAATTTCAATTATCCTTTTAATGACAATATCAATCGCTGTTTTTGAAACGTCGTAATGGGAAAACTGTTCATCGATTGTTTTTTTTTTTTTTTTTTTTTAACGCCAAGGAAACCAGACCGTGCAACAATTTACAATGATTTGACGTTCGAGTGGCGAGGCAGACGTATCTTTTTTTTCTCTCTCGCCGAGAGAAAACGCGAGGCGTATCCAAAAACATGATAACAAAACCCGATATCACGCATCCAGCGCTGAATATTGAAACGTGTCAATGGTACGTCAAATATCACCAAATTGACTATTTATGAGACCAAATGGAGAAAATTTCGTTTCCTGGTTGTTGTTTTTTTTTTTTTTTTTTTTCTTCTCTTTGCCATCGTAAATTGTATTGGCTTTGTTGTCGCCGGGAATTTCACGAAAATGTGACACGAACACTCGATTCTTCATTCGAGATATTCGGTTGCCGTATTCTTTTCTTCAGAGTTTACTGGTATCGGTATTACTGAGCGGTCGTAATTATTATCTGATTCTTTCCATTTTTTTTCTGAGAAAGAGGTAAATCAAATCTCACTTCGTTTTCGTTCCTGGCAAAACGGTGTTCTCAAACGACGTTCACCGATTTGTTACACGACGGTGACGATGATGGATTCTAGGTCAGTGAGAGAGACGAGAATGCCCGATTAATCGATGGCTATTATGCACAATTAATTACCGGACAGTGCGCCTCTGTACTTATCACTGAGACGAGAACGTAAGACCACGTACAGATCGTGTGACGTGCTTGACCGAATTATCATTGGCGCCAATGTGTTCGCCATCGTTGAGTCATCACTAGACAAACCTGATTTTCAAGAAGAAAACCATTCATCACAAACCATTTTCACGTTCAAATCTTTGCACTCGACCGTCTACTTAAATCTCTCGGATTTCCTCTTTTTATAATTTGCATAACGATAATTATAATGAACGTATACACATTTGGTGTTGTATAATACTACAATACAATAATAATATTAGTTCAATATAAATAATAATTCACATAAACTAGACTTCTTATTGCATGAAAATTTCGAAACTTTTACGCATCAAAAATTGACACGCTTTGCTTAAATACATATAGCTTTCGTATCAAACAATGTTTCGTTAGACGCGTGATATAAAAGACAAATTTCAGGTGTTCTATTCGAGTTAGGCGAATCATAACCTGTATACGTACTTCGTTACCTCGCAAGATGCTAAATTTAAATTAATCCGTATTGTTACTTTGTCATTCGCGTCGAAACGTTGGGTGACTCCGTAAGTGACGAAGTGTCGGATCGATAATTTGCAACGTGCATAACGCGGATAGCTGGTAGCCAACAACGGGCCCGCAGCGTTAATTAAAACGCAACGTAGGGACGGGTTGGCTCGCGTGGCTGTCAAGAATATTCAGCCGCTCGTTGAGTCGTTAACTCGTTTAAGTGCGTTCCTTCGCTTATGAATATGCAAACGCGTTTTAATGCGCCGGCTATTTGTCCGCGTGGCCCGCGAACGTTAAAACACCCGGCGTCCTTTTGCATCTACGCCTCGAACGCTTCGTGTTGTTATATTATAACATACGTTATATAATTAATATATATATATATATATATATTATATGTAATTTTAATTGTATTATTATCGTATTTTTATTGTATTATTATTGTATTTTTATTGTATTTTTATTGTATTATTATCGTATTTTTATTGTATTTTTATCGTATTATTATTGTATTTTTATCGTATTATTATTGTATTTTTATTGTATTATTATTGTATTTTTATTTTATTATTATAGTATTATTATTGTATTATTATTGTATTTTTATCGTATTATTATTGTATTTTTATTTTATTATTATAGTATTTTTATTGTATTATTATTGTATTTTTATTTTATTATTATAGTATTATTATTGTATTTTTATTGTATTATTATTGCATTATTATTGTATTATTATTGTATATATACATTCAATTGTATAATTATTAATTGTATTATATATAATAAATGTACATACGCGTGTGGAAATCGATCAAGACGGTCCCTGTTTGACCGACAAGCGATTTTCGATCGCAGGAATCTGGAACGAACGTGCAATCGAGCGAAATGGTCTTTTGCTTGCACACGCCGCGCTGTCGTGAACGATCTCTTCGAGGGATGATAATGACATTACGCAGGGATGATTGAATCCCTCACGGGGCCATAGTCTTTAGTTAAAGTGGGGTTAAATGCACTGTAGATGCAGATGCACGTCTAGTCGCGAATTCTGAAGCGAGTAGCTCGGTACTCACGAGCCTTTGAAGTAGCAAACAGCAAAAACGTCGACTGTAAGAATTTCAACGTTGGATAGATGGTTGAGTAGTTACTCTGTCATGGTTGAAGGAATTTTTTTTAATTTAATCTCTTTTTATCAAAGTGTCAAGATTCTCGAATCCTTTATCTTTCATCCCACAGAATAGATGTTTGAACATTGATTGGGAATTAATGAAATTTTTTAGTACTTACGAAAATATCACTCTCACAATCAGAATATTCGGTATGATGTAATTAGAGTAAATGCAAATATGTAAGAAAGCAAATAGAAAATTATTTCGCCTTTCAACCTGACCTTAAAATGTTTCAACATTAGAAATGTGTTTACCAGAGAAAGTTCTACCATATTTGTTTCCGTATAATGGCACGGTGGAAGTGCATTTCCACAAAATGGTAAAAGCATAGGAAATAAATCTGCAGGGCATTAGACGAGCCAGTAGTTTAGATGATTTATCATTCGTTCCATTAGAAAAAACTGAAAGAAATGTTTCTTCAATTGACCTGCATTTTAACTAAGAAAGTGATTGAAAGAATCACGTTTTAAAAGTTTTGTTTGTCATGTTCGCGAATCGATACTCCGCGTTTCCACTTTCGTCTTGGATCTCCCGCCAAAATCAATTGCAAATATGATAAAATTCATCAACGGTTCTGAATACGCAAACGATCGTCTAAAATTGCCCATTAACCGAATTCCCGTTTGAAGAGTCGTCGGACAAACACTCGAACAAAAACGAGCCTGGACAAAGCGAGACACGCCGAAATATCAATGGCCAATTTTCGCGTGTCTCAAATCGGAAATAATGAAACGAGAAATGACGGTGGTGAAAAAGAGGCGAAACACGCCGTCTCGTCGTTTCCTCTCGATGCTCGAAATCGGTCGATGAAACGGAGGAGCGAGATCGGCCATGACCGAAAGTTTGTCGTTGACGGGGCGTAACGAAGGAGCGATTAATCGACGCGTCGTATTAATTATTGTTTTCCTCGCGTGTATAACGGTTCGGAGGGGAATATTGGAAAAACTGGCATCGGGGCCAGACTTACCAGCCATTTAACATCTCAATGAGAAACCGGCACGAGGGACGATCGCTACGACATTTCACCGGGACAAATGTTTTCGAGCGGTTCGATTTCTCGCGGTGATTTTAATTTACCCTCTAGTCGTCGGCCAAACGGTGAAAAATTGCCACGATTCGGGTGTATTATGCTCTCGCGTCCGAACAAAGGCGCAGACATTTTCGTTTGTTGCCGTGTACAGACGGAGGGAAAAAAGCATTTTATTTATTGCCGTGTCTGTCCGTGATTCTATTGTCCATTAGGGCAGGACGGTGGAAATATTGTGTTGGTGGGTAAGAGATAATTGGCCCGCGGATATTTCCGCGTTTCGTGTGATATTTAAAGACGTACATTTTAGATAAAACGAATCTATATTTCTCTAGGTGTATTCATAAATTCACAAAGTCTGAAGATTGGATAAACAAACATCAAATACATCGATATTCGAATTATTTCTGATTTTATATAAATGTGAAG